CTAAATCCACCTTCTGTCAACTTTGTTACTTTTATAAATTGCTCAAAAGGTATCCATTCTAAAATAAATGTTGGAAGTGATGAAATCATTTGGCATTGTTGAATAAAGTTATCAACTATGTTGTTTCCAGATGTCCAAGTGGTGAAAAGACTCTGTAATTGTAAACTAATACAACCTTCACAGAACCTACCAGAGTATCTTGTCAATTTACACTTGTTACATTCTTTTGGTTTACCTGATTTACACATTGCATTATTTAATTCAAAGTTGTAAATAAACTTTTCTTTACAATATTCTTACCAATCAAAAAAAATATTCTTTTATACCTTTCTCATCAGAATTAGCAAATACATTATTGAACATTTCATTATTAATTTTACGTACAAAGTGCCTCCTTTCTTGTGATAATAAATGATTATATAAAGATATATAATATAAAATGAGATTTTTCGTATTTTTGGTAGATTTCATACCTGGTTTTGAGAATAACGGTTACATTATTTCCCTTTTCATTGAATGATGTGTAACAAACAATTTTTCGTACATCATTTTTTTTGATTAATTGATAAGGATGTAAATTGAAAAACGAAAATTGCATTATTTAAAGAACAACTTCATCATAACCAAACTCTAGTGATAGATTTATCAATAAAAGAAATTCAACATTCTCAAAAATATCTAAAAACCTGTTTTATGTGATATGTAAAGGTCGTTTTAAGTATCAATATTGATCAACTTATGTTGCTTCAAACTCAGACATCAAAGACAACTTGAACACATTATCGATTTAATACTACTCATATGTATGTAAAGTCAATTAATAATAACAGAATGGTATTAATTTGTAAAAAAGAAGAGGAAATTTTATTTTGAAAGAAAACACTTGGAAAAAATAAGTAGCTTAATTATATGAAATTTCTAATTCAAATTCCATGATAATTAATTATTCTTCTTGCATCATTGCAATATACATACAATGATATAATAATTCTTTATATCAAACACTTTTACTTACATCTAGTGTTTTTAATTCCGTCAAATGGTTTTACTTATGTCAAGGGATTTTACTTAGTAAAATCTTCAAAATAGCCTGGTGAGTAACTACCTTTAGTCAATACTTTAGTTACGTTAATGACTAAAGTCAAAAGTTTCATCATACATCATTAGCTCGCAATGTTAATTTAATATAGTTAATTACCTTTTTGAATTCCTCTGACAAATTTAGATATTACTTATATGAATAGTTCTTTAATTAGTTGAGCCAGACCACATAATTTGCCAATCTATTGAAAAATTCAGAAACTATAACAATCTAGTTTATGAATATTTTGAAAGTAACTATGAAATACATCACAATCAATCATCCAATTATAATCTAAATGAGCGGTTCCAAGTATCCATATCAGCCGATTTGGTTTCTTGTATCCTTTTTTCAAACCTTATATCTTATTGTGTCTTGATGTTAAACACGAGTATTTTTAATGTGTAAAAATGGTCAGTAGAATGATAATTAACCCTAAAAAAAATTATTTGCTCCGCTAAAAAAACTTTTTACCATTCAACAACCCGTAAAACAATGGCCCGCCTAAAACCAATGGGTTTTTGCTAGTATAAAGTATTCATAATGTTATGATCATACCTTACAAATCGTTGTTGAAAATATTTTTGTATGTAACTTGGAGTGAAAACATTGTTACTCCCTTGGATTATATTAGAAAAATCCAGATATATTTCTTTATCTCTATTTTAAAGTCCTTGATACTCTCTTTATTTAAATCCAATACTCCCCAGTATGCAGGGCTAAAATTAGCAAATAGATATATTATGCTAAACTTGCGTTAGTATTTTACGTACTTTTGGTATTTGTTTTTAGTATTTACGAAATAATTCCCCATTATTAATAAAACAATGAGTTTATTTAAACACGTATTCAT